AATTACAATATATATTAAAGTGCAGTAGGTGCAAGGAAACACTCACAAAATTAGAGCCATAGGACCTGGCTCTGGTGTGGATAGCTTCTGGATCTATTATAGGGTGATCCTTAACCCTTCTGTCGCTGGTATGGTTTCCAATGTATAGAAGAGGATCCAAAAGATGGAGTGATAAAAAACTACTTTATTATAAAAAATATATACATAAAATAATGAAGGATAAAGTATATGTAGTAAATAGCAAGCCAATACGCGTTTCGCCAATTGTGGCTTCCTCAGTCAGCTTCCAGTATTAAGTCCAGTTATTGTCTTTATATAAGTCCTTATTTGATAATGTTTCGCGGCAAAAAACTGCTGTGGAACGCATGTATGCGTTCCATATCTTCATTTGCATCCATTTCCTCCCTTCCGGTCGCGCCGATACTGTGACGTCACTTCCGGGTTAGACGTCACTTCCGAATTCTTCCTCTGAGTGGAACGCACTAAGCGTTCCACTCCTTCTGATACCTCCGGTTTCTATAAGGACCTCTATGGGACGCAAAATTACATTTCAATTTCCCTCCTTCTGTTCATATGATTGGGCACTTCAATGGAACGCAAATATGCGTTTCAAACTCTTCCTCTTTTCCCTCTACACCATAGGATCTCATAAGTAAGGGCATAGTCAATTATATAAAAACATAAAAACATAATAAATTCATCTTTTGAACATATTGTTAGAATACAGCCATGTAGAGAAGTGCCCAATTCTTAAAGTGACCATGCTTATTTCATGAACAAAGTGCATATTAAAAAAAAACAGTGTATTTTTAAAAAACAGTGAGTTTTAGAAAAAAAGTGAATTTTAGAAAGACAATAAATATCTCTTAAAGTGACCATGCAGTTATTGTCATAGTGAATATGCAGGTGATAAAATGAATGTCTTAATGGGATATCTTACTTATATTCTATATAAAACATACTTTTGGTTTCATTATGTGTAAAAGTTATGTCCCTATTATCTCTTTTTTTATATTATAAAATCGTAATATATTAAAACTGTCAGTCGATTCATAAAAAATGACATAACTCAAAATCTTGATTAAGTCCATGTGGAATCAATGTTTTTAGATTATAAATACACTTCATCTCCTCCTCTCCGATCTTTTTATTAAAGTCACCCCCCCTCCAATCTCTATGTATTGCTTTTATTGCACAAAAGGACATATTTTTTGGATCTTTATTATGGTATAAATTAAAATGGTTGGAAACACTATGTGTCTCCAGTCCTTTTTTTATATTTCTAATATGTTCTTCAATTCTTATGTGTACATTTCTAATTGTTCTTCCTACATATATAAGATCGCAGGGACATTTTAAAATATAGATAACATTTTTGGAAAAGCATGTTAGCTGATTCCTTATCGTAAATGTTTTATCTTTTTGATACTTAAAGGAGGTAATGTGTCTTTTCTTTTGGTTAGTTTCTCTGCAAGCCAGGCAAGAACCGCATCCATAAAAACCTTTGTTTTTATTTAGAAAATGCTCATTATGTTTAGTAGTAAAGCTACTTTTTACTACTATTTGCTTAAGATTTTTGCATCCTCTATATACTACCATAGGTTTGGAAGGTAGAATTTGTTTTAAAATAGGATCTTCTTGTAATATGGACCAATATTTATATTACAAAAGGTTTTACCATGGGAATTCTAACAGAGGAAGAAACAAAATATTTATCTATCACATATCCTAAAACACCAGTCTTCTATTACCTACCCAAAGTTCACAAAAATAAAGAAAACCCCCCAGGTAGACCAATTATCTCAGGAATAGACTCTATTTCTTCAAGAGTCTCGGAGTACATAGATAGATTGCTACAACCAATTGTGGTTAAGAGCCCATCTTATTTAAAAGATACTATCCACATGTTGCAGATTCTTGATGAAATTGAATGGCAAGAAAACTATCTATTAGTAACTTGCGATGTTAGTTCATTATACAGCATTATACCTCACCATTTGGGAATTAAGGCAATAAAACATTTTTTAAAGAAATCAGATTTTAAAGACATACAAATAGATTTTATATTAGAAGGGATTTTATTAATTTTATCGAATAATTACTTTTGGTTTAAAGATTCTTTTTTTTTACAAATCACAGGTACGGCGATGGGTACTAAGTTCGCTCCAAGCTATGCAAATTTGTTCATGGCATATTGGGAAGAAATAATAGTCACCCACAATGCACAATTTGCGAACTTAGTATCCTATCGCCGTTATATTGACGATATTTTTTTTATATGGAAAGATAGTGAAATACAACTCATCAAGTTTTTGGAGGATTTAAATCAAAATGAGTGGGGAATTTTTTTAACGTCTACGTACAGTAAAAATCAAATTAATTTTTTAGACTTAGATATTTTTTTAGCAGAATCTCAACTACATACAAAAAATCATTTTAAAGAAGTAGACGCAAACAGTTATATTGACAAAAATAGTTGTCACCATACCCCTTGGTTAGATAATGCCCCTAAGAGCCAGTTTTTAAGAATACGACGTAATTGCACCCAAGACAAAGACTACACAACACAGGCCGAAATAATCAGAGAACAATTTGTAGAAAAAGGATACAATCCAATAGAGTTAACAACCTGTATGGAAGAGGTCAAATCAATAAAGAGAAAGGATCTGATTAGATATAAAGGGAACACAAAAAAGAAAAGAGACCTGAAAAAAACTGGTCAATTAAAAATTCCCTTTATATGTAATCACAGTGGAAACAATACAAAGATAAGAAGAATTATCTATAAATATTGGTCCATATTACAAGAAGATCCTATTTTAAAACAAATTCTACCTTCCAAACCTATGGTAGTATATAGAGGATGCAAAAATCTTAAGCAAATAGTAGTAAAAAGTAGCTTTACTACTAAACATAATGAGCATTTTCTAAATAAAAACAAAGGTTTTTATGGATGCGGTTCTTGCCTGGCTTGCAGAGAAACTAACCAAAAGAAAAGACACATTACCTCCTTTAAGTATCAAAAAGATAAAACATTTACGATAAGGAATCAGCTAACATGCTTTTCCAAAAATGTTATCTATATTTTAAAATGTCCCTGCGATCTTATATATGTAGGAAGAACAATTAGAAATGTACACATAAGAATTGAAGAACATATTAGAAATATAAAAAAAGGACTGGAGACACATAGTGTTTCCAACCATTTTAATTTATACCATAATAAAGATCCAAAAAATATGTCCTTTTGTGCAATAAAAGCAATACATAGAGATTGGAGGGGGGGTGACTTTAATAAAAAGATCGGAGAGGAGGAGATGAAGTGTATTTATAATCTAAAAACATTGATTCCACATGGACTTAATCAAGATTTTGAGTTATGTCATTTTTTATGAATCGACTGACAGTTTTAATATATTACGATTTTATAATATAAAAAAAGAGATAATAGGGACATAACTTTTACACATAATGAAACCAAAAGTATGTTTTATATAGAATATAAGTAAGATATCCCATTAAGACATTCATTTTATCACCTGCATATTCACTATGACAATAACTGCATGGTCACTTTAAGAGATATTTATTGTCTTTCTAAAATTCACTTTTTTTCTAAAACTCACTGTTTTTTAAAAATACACTGTTTTTTTTTAATATGCACTTTGTTCATGAAATAAGCATGGTCACTTTAAGAATTGGGCACTTCTCTACATGGCTGTATTCTAACAATATGTTCAAAAGATGAATTTATTATGTTTTTATGTTTTTATATAATTGACTATGCCCTTACTTATGAGATCCTATGGTGTAGAGGGAAAAGAGGAAGAGTTTGAAACGCATATTTGCGTTCCATTGAAGTGCCCAATCATATGAACAGAAGGAGGGAAATTGAAATGTAATTTTGCGTCCCATAGAGGTCCTTATAGAAACCGGAGGTATCAGAAGGAGTGGAACGCTTAGTGCGTTCCACTCAGAGGAAGAATTCGGAAGTGACGTCTAACCCGGAAGTGACGTCACAGCATCGGCGCGACCGGAAGGGAGGAAATGGATGCAAATGAAGATATGGAACGCATACATGCGTTCCACAGCAGTTTTTTGCCGCGAAACATTATCAAATAAGGACTTATATAAAGACAATAACTGGACTTAATACTGGAAGCTGACTGAGGAAGCCACAATTGGCGAAACGCGTATTGGCTTGCTATTTACTACATATACTTTATCCTTCATTATTTTATGTATATATTTTTTATAATAAAGTAGTTTTTTATCACTCCATCTTTTGGATCCTCTTCTATACATTGGAAACCATACCAGCGACAGAAGGGTTAAGGATCACCCTATAATAGATCCAGAAGCTATCCACACCAGAGCCAGGTCCTATGGCTCTAATTTTGTGAGTGTTTCCTTGCACCTACTGCACTTTAATATATATTGTAATTGATTTACACTATTGTTGTATATCTCTCTATCTCCACAGCAATATATTGGAGAAGAGGAAAGAATTAATATTGCTCCATCCATTGTGTTTGTATTGTATGTATTTATTTGTGTTGGTATAGGGGATACCACACGGGTGTTTGAGCTATTATAGTCACCTACTGTGCCATTTCTTGCATTTGTGATATACATTGTTGGGAGTGTTTCTGTGTGTGAAGATCACCCCCTATCCCCTGGCATATAGATTAGAGTGACCAATTATGGCAACAACAGAGAATAGGAACTATCTAACTGCCAATATAGATTCTGTTTTTGGTGACAATACAATAACACCAAAAGAAATATACACAGATAACAACATGTGCAGTAAAAATTTAGAACGGGCCCTAATTAAAGAAATGAAAGCTAAATGGGAGATTGCTACTCTCAATAAATATGTAAGAGAGAAGATAACTCCAAGGGGCTTAAGATTCTATAAAGATCCAGCATTTGATAGAGAGGATCCATATTTTATAGATGGATGGAATAAAATGTTAGATGGTTTCTCGTTTAGCGCGATGGGATACATCGTGTCTAGACGAGAAGAGCATCTACAAAATATCGATGTAGATATTAAAAAATGGAAGGATAAACTAAGTAATACTACCAGTCCAGAAATGTTTAACACTACAATTATAGAAATCACTAAGAGAGTAGAGAAAGTAGAAAAAGATGTTATAGAAATTAAGAAAAAGAAATATCTAAGAGATGTAAATGATTACAAATCCGGAAATGTAAGACATTATAATAAAGCAAATGGGACCCAAAAGACACGTTTCAATCATTTTGACAATAGAGAAAGTAGACAAACAAATAATTTTCATGAACAACAAATATCTATAAGAAATAGAAACTATGAAAGATCAACAGAAGCGTATAAACCTAGAATTACAAAAGAGAGACCTAATAGAACCAATCTAGGTTTTAATAGGACATACAGCGAGGCAGTGAAATACCCGAGAAGTGACCAACAATACAGAGAATATAAACAACCATACAGAGGAGAAAAAAGAAATATGCATATCAACAACCCTAATGAGATACCTTTAACTAATAGATTCAAGAGCCTAGAAAATCAAAATCAGGATCAGGACTCTTTTTTTCGACAGGATCCCTTCCAACACCACCGCAGACGATCGCAACAGATAGGAGAGACACCAGGGAAACGGTTGAGATTATCAGAGGAAGGAGAAATAGAAGAAGAAAAAGAGGAAATGACACGAGGCAGAGAAAAGAGGGGCAGAAATTAAATATAGAAGGGATCTTCAATCTTACAGGGTCCCCACTCAAAGAGGAACAAATTAATATCCTAAAAAAAGGTTTAAAATTTGCGCCCTCCTCAGATTTTAATGAATTCAATTTTTTTATTGATATTCAAAAATTTATAAGACAATTATCCCTAAAAAAAATTTTTTATAATAAACAATCGAATAAAGATGTTGATAAAGAATCTGAATATGTACAAACAGAGTTAAAACCTAAATCCCAATTTTTTCCGAAGTTTTTAATTTCAGATGAAATGAAAACATTCGAAAAGATGGTAATAAGAGAAGTGCAGAAAATTAAAAAATTAAATAAATTTCAAAAGAATATGACCATACAAGAATTTAAAACCATTGATAATTTAAGAAAGGATGAAAATGTTGTCATTAAACCTGCAGATAAAGGGGGTGGAGTAGTAATATTAAATACAAACGATTATGTGAAAGAAGCAGAAAGAATTCTATTAGACACAAATACATATAAGAAGATTAATACAAATCCAAGTCAGGGTATACAAGAGAAATTTAAAAGCTATATTACAAAAGGTTTTACCATGGGAATTCTAACAGAGGAAGAAACAAAATATTTATCTATCACATATCCTAAAACACCAGTCTTCTATTACCTACCCAAAGTTCACAAAAATAAAGAAAACCCCCCAGGTAGACCAATTATCTCAGGAATAGACTCTATTTCTTCAAGAGTCTCGGAGTACATAGATAGATTGCTACAACCAATTGTGGTTAAGAGCCCATCTTATTTAAAAGATACTATCCACATGTTGCAGATTCTTGATGAAATTGAATGGCAAGAAAACTATCTATTAGTAACTTGCGATGTTAGTTCATTATACAGCATTATACCTCACCATTTGGGAATTAAGGCAATAAAACATTTTTTAAAGAAATCAGATTTTAAAGACATACAAATAGATTTTATATTAGAAGGGATTTTATTAATTTTATCGAATAATTACTTTTGGTTTAAAGATTCTTTTTTTTTACAAATCACAGGTACGGCGATGGGTACTAAGTTCGCTCCAAGCTATGCAAATTTGTTCATGGCATATTGGGAAGAAATAATAGTCACCCACAATGCACAATTTGCGAACTTAGTATCCTATCGCCGTTATATTGACGATATTTTTTTTATATGGAAAGATAGTGAAATACAACTCATCAAGTTTTTGGAGGATTTAAATCAAAATGAGTGGGGAATTTTTTTAACGTCTACGTACAGTAAAAATCAAATTAATTTTTTAGACTTAGATATTTTTTTAGCAGAATCTCAACTACATACAAAAAATCATTTTAAAGAAGTAGACGCAAACAGTTATATTGACAAAAATAGTTGTCACCATACCCCTTGGTTAGATAATGCCCCTAAGAGCCAGTTTTTAAGAATACGACGTAATTGCACCCAAGACAAAGACTACACAACACAGGCCGAAATAATCAGAGAACAATTTGTAGAAAAAGGATACAATCCAATAGAGTTAACAACCTGTATGGAAGAGGTCAAATCAATAAAGAGAAAGGATCTGATTAGATATAAAGGGAACACAAAAAAGAAAAGAGACCTGAAAAAAACTGGTCAATTAAAAATTCCCTTTATATGTAATCACAGTGGAAACAATACAAAGATAAGAAGAATTATCTATAAATATTGGTCCATATTACAAGAAGATCCTATTTTAAAACAAATTCTACCTTCCAAACCTATGGTAGTATATAGAGGATGCAAAAATCTTAAGCAAATAGTAGTAAAAAGTAGCTTTACTACTAAACATAATGAGCATTTTCTAAATAAAAACAAAGGTTTTTATGGATGCGGTTCTTGCCTGGCTTGCAGAGAAACTAACCAAAAGAAAAGACACATTACCTCCTTTAAGTATCAAAAAGATAAAACATTTACGATAAGGAATCAGCTAACATGCTTTTCCAAAAATGTTATCTATATTTTAAAATGTCCCTGCGATCTTATATATGTAGGAAGAACAATTAGAAATGTACACATAAGAATTGAAGAACATATTAGAAATATAAAAAAAGGACTGGAGACACATAGTGTTTCCAACCATTTTAATTTATACCATAATAAAGATCCAAAAAATATGTCCTTTTGTGCAATAAAAGCAATACATAGAGATTGGAGGGGGGGTGACTTTAATAAAAAGATCGGAGAGGAGGAGATGAAGTGTATTTATAATCTAAAAACATTGATTCCACATGGACTTAATCAAGATTTTGAGTTATGTCATTTTTTATGAATCGACTGACAGTTTTAATATATTACGATTTTATAATATAAAAAAAGAGATAATAGGGACATAACTTTTACACATAATGAAACCAAAAGTATGTTTTATATAGAATATAAGTAAGATATCCCATTAAGACATTCATTTTATCACCTGCATATTCACTATGACAATAACTGCATGGTCACTTTAAGAGATATTTATTGTCTTTCTAAAATTCACTTTTTTTCTAAAACTCACTGTTTTTTAAAAATACACTGTTTTTTTTTAATATGCACTTTGTTCATGAAATAAGCATGGTCACTTTAAGAATTGGGCACTTCTCTACATGGCTGTATTCTAACAATATGTTCAAAAGATGAATTTATTATGTTTTTATGTTTTTATATAATTGACTATGCCCTTACTTATGAGATCCTATGGTGTAGAGGGAAAAGAGGAAGAGTTTGAAACGCATATTTGCGTTCCATTGAAGTGCCCAATCATATGAACAGAAGGAGGGAAATTGAAATGTAATTTTGCGTCCCATAGAGGTCCTTATAGAAACCGGAGGTATCAGAAGGAGTGGAACGCTTAGTGCGTTCCACTCAGAGGAAGAATTCGGAAGTGACGTCTAACCCGGAAGTGACGTCACAGTATCGGCGCGACCGGAAGGGAGGAAATGGATGCAAATGAAGATATGGAACGCATACATGCGTTCCACAGCAGTTTTTTGCCGCGAAACATTATCAAATAAGGACTTATATAAAGACAATAACTGGACTTAATACTGGAAGCTGACTGAGGAAGCCACAATTGGCGAAACGCGTATTGGCTTGCTATTTACTACATATATTTTATCCTTCATTATTTTATGTATATATTTTTTATAATAAAGTAGTTTTTTATCACTCCATCTTTTGGATCCTCTTCTATACATTGGAAACCATACCAGCGACAGAAGGGTTAAGGATCACCCTATAATAGATCCAGAAGCTATCCACACCAGAGCCAGGTCCTATGGCTCTAATTTTGTGAGTGTTTCCTTGCACCTACTGCACTTTAATATATATTGTAATTGATTTACACTATTGTTGTATATCTCTCTATCTCCACAGCAATATATTGGAGAAGAGGAAAGAATTAATATTGCTCCATCCATTGTGTTTGTATTGCATATATATATATAACCTGCAGCTCCTCTGGCTAGAATTCACTCTCGTAAAATTCGGCCTCTCAGGGCGCTGCCATGGTAAATGTGGCAATGCTCCAAGCTCGTGAGAGGAACTTCCAGAACCTGGTGCAACTGCTGGGTAGGGCCACCTGGTCCTCCTTCCCTCTCCTCCCTCACTTCTCTGCATTGGGGTGACTGTGGACTTGAGAGGGAGATCTTTGATCTCTCTACTGGGTTGTGGTGGCACAAAGCAACGCCAGCAATTGGATAGTGACAGCCCTGCATGGGCTGACAGAGTAGATTCTTTGATCATCCCTGTTGGCCTCAGCCCATAGCAATCATGGCCCACCATGCATTTGCCTGGTTTACCTGATGACCACTCAGACCTTTCTCAGCCTATCACTGACCTTGCAGTGGCAGGCCATTGAGAGAATTATTCCCCACTAACATATAAGCATTGTGCAGTATTGAAAATAAGCACTGCAGACAGAAATAGGATTTCAAAGAGGGACATGTGTCAAGACTTGTAGATTTGTTTGTTCCAAACCGCAATTCATCCAAATTTGGGCTAATTGGCTGATCCAAATTCCCGAACTCCAAGCCGAATCACGAACTGAACAAAATGTGTAATGGGCGATTATGCTTGTTTTGATTTATGATTTAGAACTTGGCCTGTGACACCAAAAAAAAGGAGATGATTCATAGGAAGAAAACATGATTGATTGCTAGATTCTAAATTTGAAATATTTTTTGTCACCATGCATAAGTCTCAATGTGACTTCAGATAGTATTCACCGGGCATACCCTGGTGTGATGGAATTCACCAGGTGGTCTGTAGAGCCTCAGTTAAAGTTAGCTTAGGTTTTAGGGTAATCCTAGGGTTGACTTAGGTGTGGGGGAATTTAGTGTTAGTTCGCATTTATGGTATAGTATAGGCAGGCAATGCCTGGCTGAGATTGATGGGAAACACATCTCATGTATTTTGCTAATCAGGGTAAAAGGGCTTGGTCTTAACAAGGTTAAACAGCAATATTTGTTTTTTTACATGCTTCATGAAGCATTAGCTAGGTAGCCTCCAACAATATCAATGACCAATGATATATTCTTAGCAATTCTGTTTTTTTCTGTTTTTCTTTTTCTTTTTTTCCTGTATAAACTTTTACATTTTTTCAGTTCTGTATGTCAATGAAATTCTGCACATGATTATTGAACTTGGCTAGTTCTATGATTTTATGTAATGAACAAACATTATATAAAAATGTTTTATATAAAAAGTAAAACATCTCAAAAAAGTACCATGAAGCATTGGTAACTTGTAATTGTCATGAGGTACCTATGCATTAATTTCACCATTAATGAATGATAATTATACAGGTGACTAACATTAAAATGTGCTACAGACACTGCCACAAACATATACAGGAATAACAGTTTATTAAAGTTGCCAAATTTTGCCTACATCGGAACTGGAGAATCTTACCACAATGGCTATTTTGGCCTAAATTTAGCAAATTGGTTTTCAATTCACAAAAATGTATTCTTTACTGAATAACCAAATATTTAGGAAGGATATG